GTTTAGCGTCGTCGCGCGCGCCGATTTTCCGGGACGTTGCGGGAGCCGGGGTGGGGGGTGGGCTGCAAGCGCGCCGCCGCCGCCAGGGGTTGGTCGTCTCGTCTGGTTTTGCTTTCAGAGTGGGACAGGAAATGAGTTTATATCTGTGGTTCCCAACCTGGGGATGACTTGGGAGTTTGAAAAATGCCGAGGCCCAGGCGGCACCCCAGACCCCTGGAATCTGAGTGAGATCCAGGCTGCCATCAGGCTCCCAAACTTCCCAGCTGGTTCCAATGAGCAGCCAAGGGAGAAGGGCTGGTTTAGATGGAATTTAGATCCACTTCCATCAGAGGATTCCGACTCAACAGCCACATTTATCTAGGATTTCCCAGATTGTCAATCTCTACGGGAGCAGAGAGGATCATCTTCCTTCCAAGGAGCGGCTGCGGGACTCGAACCCGTCGACTCTGTGGTTAGCAGCCCAACGCCAAACCCCCCCAACGCCACCAGGGATCCTTAATTGAAGATAGACACTCGTCTAGCTGCGTTTTCTGGTTCCAACCAAACTTCCGCAACCACTAAAATATTGTAAGCAGCTGAGCGGAGCAGCGACCACCGGACCTGGGCAGAACAGAGACACTGGCGGGGACTTTAGGGTCCGATCACTAGGTCTGTCCCGCGTTGGAGGCCCTTACAGCACCTGCTGCCCCTCCCCCAGCCAGATTGCCCCTCCCCCGCGCCCCCCATGGAGCAGTTGGGCCAGAAGAGCTGGGATGGACCCCAGGTTCCTTCCTCCCTGGAGCCTTGCCCTGCTGAGATTGGGGCAGCAGGATCTGGAGTAGAGGCTGCAGGGCCAGAGGAACCCAGAGGAGAAAATGAACGTCCCTGCAGAGAAACGCCAAAGAGACGCCATGCTCAGGCCCTGGGTGGGATGTGGTGGAGGGAGTCCAGGTGACGGCCACTTCCCTGGAGACCCCAGGAGGCAGTTGGGGTTGTCTGTATATGTGTGTATCTGTTTATCTGCCTATAAGAGGGGGGTGAGGGTAAGAGAGAAGGTCCCAGAAAGCTAATGAGGTCCCTGATAAGAGGGTCCCCCATGAGGGACTGCCATGCTTCTCATCAATCTACAATTATGAAGAAAAGATAAAGTAACAGTACAGGAGAGAAAGTGTCTCACTTTCAGATTTTACTCAAATTCCAGAAACATGGCATTTAAGCGAATTCCACATTTTTTATGTTTTTGAAAACCAACTGTATTGCCTGGTATTATGCCAGGACTGGGGAGAAAATGAGTAAGACATGGGTACTCACATTGGATCAAGGTACTTTTATTGGATGGTACTTGTTTGGATGGAGGAGACCTGGGTGCTTATATCAGTTGATGAATTAAAAGGAGGATTTCTCAGCTGAAGCTAGGCGCTTTCATGAACTGTGCAAATCCTTCAATTATGTGGTAGTTTTCCACAGAAGAGACTGCCCCCTCCACCACCATCCTCTGTTTATTCTGCCTCCAGTAGAAACCATCTCCCTGACTCAGTTACCCCACATACAGTAAGCGCTCAAGGTGCTGGAGCATCCTCTCAGATGGGTGAGATAGAGATCCTGAAGGGGAACGGATGCCTAACCTTGGCTTGGGCAACTATCCCTCAGTGTCACGCAGAGCCCCTGGGCACAGTTAGGTGTTTGACCATGGAGCAAAAGGTTGGTATTTCAAGCCCGCCCAGAGATGCCTTGGAAGAAATGCTGGCTGTCATCTTCTGAAGGGGCACAGCCACGGAAAGCCTGGACCCCATTCTGGTTGGCAACACCCAGACCGGCCGAGAGCAGACCTAGAAAGGTCCACCTGTCCTTCCTCATATCCCCCTGCGTCGAGACAAAGAACCCTACCAGTGGAAGACATTGTGCCTCTTAAGGTAGTATTTCCCCATCGCTACCTAAAAGGACCTAATACAGAAAGCACATTTCTTAATTTAAATGAATAGATTGGCATCCTGGCTTGCCAACTAGTCTCTAGAGAATTGGGTCTGTTTAATTCGATTCCCCGGAGCCTGGGCAGATTGAGAGGTAGTCCCTTAGCCCACCCACAGTAACTCTTCTCTCCAGCTCAGTCAGCTCAGACTTTCAATGCACTCGCTAGAGACTTGAAATTGTTAGGAACATTCAGTAGGTTTCAAACTTGTATGTCTTATTCCTTCATGAGATCAATGAAATGGGTCCATCTTCCCTCCCCAGGTTATATGTGAAGCAGAGTTCTTTGGCTCTTCTTTAAACTATAAATCCATCTCTTTATCTCTCAACAGGAAACAGCTGGGATGCTCCCCTGGAACAATGGGCTGGCTGGCCACTTCTCTTTTTCCACGTAGTTTCCCACCCTCTCTCCTTCTCAGCAGAGTAGTTAGACTTCTCACCGGGGAGCTCAGGGCTGCAAGGGCCAGCATTTCAAGATCAGCGCCAATGTGTGGGTTCTTACCAAGCTTTTGCTTACTGATGTCCTTGCACCCAAATCAAGACTATCGGTCAAGCCTGGTGTCAGTGGGAAATGATACAAGGACACTGAAATTGGGTGACATGGCTCACTGGAAGTCACAGTCTACCACAATTCCATTATTTTACATTTCCAACCAAACCCACTGAAATTATAGATTTATATGCACCCAGATCATCTGACCTCAAGTCCCACGTGTCATTGGATGCTTTCTAAGTCATCGTGCAATACAAGTTCAAAACAACTGTGTGCAAAGTGTTGAGAGGTTGCAAGGATAAATAAGACGGGGGTCCTGTCTAATTAGACATTCAGTCTAATATAGTACAGCAGTGAATGTGACTGTCTGAGAGGAGCACAATGCCAAGAGGGTATGGAAAGGAAAGATGTTTATTTAGGGAAGGGGAGTCAGTAAAAGTCATCACACCAAGACCTAAAGGATGAATGGTCTTGGCACCTGCAGAAATCAGGGATCAGGTTAGTGGAAAAGGGCATCGTAGATGAAGGAACTGGCACAGGGAAAGGTGAAATTGGAAACTGGCAGATCTGTATAAACATTTTGTTGTGTATATAACTTTAGAGGTTTGGGCTGGATATCATTTGAAAATGTATCAGTTTAAATGCTTTGACTATGGCCAAGGGGGTTTTCTAATATATTGTTCATGAATTTGCAAAGACATGCAATCCTCTTCCATGTACTCGTAGGAGACCGAGTAATGGTCCCACAAAAATGTCCACATCCTACTTCTCAGATCATGTGACTATGCCACCTTGCCTGGTGAAAGAACTTTGCACATGGGATTAAGTTCAAGATCTTGAGGTGGGATGATCCTAGATTACCTGGGGTAGCCCCCACGTAATCCTGATGGAGGCAGGAGATCAGAGTGAAGAGAAAGCAAGGTGATGATTTCTGTCATCCAAGATTGGAGTGATGTGGATAAAAGCCAAGGAATGCTGGCGGCATGAGAAGCTGGAAGAGACAAGGGACAGATTCTCCCATGAAGCCCTCCCAAGGAACCAGCCCTGTCAACACCTCGATTTCAGCTCCGTGAAATTTCTTTCAGATTTCCAGCCCCCAGAACTCTCAAAGAATAAATCTGTGTTGTTTTAAACCACTAAATTTATGGTGATTTGTTACAGTGGCAATAGGAAATGAATACTTTTTTTGTACATTATTCTTTTGTTCATGTTCTATCCCATAGTTAAGCGAATGAATAAAATTCACCTTTGCTAATATAGTATCACCAACTACCAGCCCATTCCGTTGAGCATGGCAGGAATCCGTTTTATTCTTGCTATGTTACATCCTGAAAGGAGCCCCGGTGGTGCAGGGGTTAAGGACGCAGCTGCTAACAGAAAGAAGGATGGTTTGAACTGCTCCATGGGAGAAAGATACCACAGTTGGCTTCTATAAGCACTTACAGCCTTGCAAACCCATTAGAGTGGTTCCACTCTGCCCTTTGGGGTGGCAGTGAGTCAAAATGGGCTGAGCAGCAGTGGGTTTCATTTGGGCTGGGATTTTAAGGGAGAATCTTAACAACGAGACAACAAATAATAAAAAGAAAATAAATATAGTAATACTAATCTTTTTATGACACAGAATTCCAATCCAAATCATCCAGATGCCTCTGTAAGACTATTTAAAGATATTTCCTAACTTCATTGGAACATTTACCAAAATGATAGAAACAGTTTTACACCTACATAACTCTGTTAAGCTGGGTTCTCTAGAGAAGCAAAATCAGTGATGTTTGTAACCCACATGTGTACACACACACATGCACACACACTTTTATATATGCATGTATATGTACATATATAGAGAAATGTATATCAAGAAAACGACTCCCATATTTGTAGAAGCTGTCAAGTTCAGTTGAAGTCGGTGCATGTCCCAAGTCCATGGGTCAGTTGTTAAACTGGAGACTTCTGACTCACAGCTTTGGTGGCTGATGACCCCAAGATTGGTGAGAAGACCACTGGTGACAGAGATAGATGAATCAGATCAGATGCCAGGCCCCTGATAGCCCCAGGTTTGGTAGGCAATAGGGTATTGGCTCATGTGCAAAGAGCCGGAGGTCAACGAGCCAGTTACAGAATCCAGAGCAAGCAAAAAGCAAACCAAGCTTTTCCACAGCATTCACTTATATAGGAGGTAGGCCA